AAATGGCGGTACGGTAGGATCCACCCAGTGAGGGTGGGACAGACCTGGCGAGGCTGTGTGCTGGTGGCTCTCTAGCGGAGTAGTGTGGCTCAGCCTGTTGAGAAGCAGCATTGGTAGCACATGAGGCTATGTGTGTAGGAGAAAGGAAAGGAAAGAGGAGAAAGAGAGAGAAGAAACCAACAATCAAACAAATTTAAAAAAATTAAAAAAACAACAACAATAAACAAATATGGTGGTGGGTGTGCTGTCCATTGGGGGTAGGGTGGAATTGGGTTGGTGATGAGATGATGTCTCTCTCACTGGGTAGCATGGCACGGCCTGTAAGGAAGGGGCAGAAGCAGGGAAGGGCCTAGGTGGGAGGGAGAAAGAAAAGGAGAAGGGGAAAGATAAAAATATAAAATATGGTGCCAAGGAAGCCAGCCTGTGGGAGGTGGCACAGACCTGGGGAAGCTATGTGGCAGATCCTCTCCAGCTAAGCACTACGGTACAGCCCACCAAGAAGTTGGGGGTGTGCGCACAGGGCTGGATGGATGGGAGAGAGGAAAGGAAGCAAGGTGGAGGGAGAGGAGAAACTATAGCAAAAACAAAAATAAAAGACAAAAAAAAAAAAACAAACCAAATAATAAAATGGCACTAACGGAGCTAGTTGGTGATGGCAGCGCAGACCCAGGAAGGCCACGTGCAGTGACTCTCCAACTGAGCTATGCAGCATGGCCTTTCCAGAAAGGGCGGAAGTGGTGCACAAGGCTGGGTGCGAGGGAGAAAGAGGAAGGCAAGGAGAGAGAAAGAAGGAAAAAAAAGGAAGAAAAGAAATGAAAAAGAAAAAGAAAAAAAAAGACAAAGCAAGCAAACCAAAAAATTACAGCCTGTCAAGAAGGGGAGAGGATGGCACATGGGGCTAGCTGGGTGGGAGAAAGGAAAGGAAAGAAGGGAGTGAGAGAAGCAACACAAAAGGCCAAAATAACCATATCAAAAAACAAACAAACAAACAAAAAGGAACAAAGCAAACAAACCAAGGAAGGGAAGGGGATGGCACATGGGGCTAGCTGGGCTGGAGACAGAGAAGGAAGGGAGAGAGAGATAAGCAACAAAAAAAGCCATAAATAAATACATAAACAAAAGAACAAACCACAAAAAAAAAAAAAAAAAAAAAGC